ACGAAAGGAACTTTTCTCTGTTGTAAAATTCCAGTCATCTCAAAGCTGTTAAATTAAACAATTTCATCTTTAGAGAACTTGTTTTCTAGACACACAAAAATCCCACCACTGTCTATTTAGTCCTTTCTTTTACTATCTTTGTGAGGAAAAGAAAGCATTTGGAAAATTTTTCTAACTATAAGTGTTCTCACATTTCCTTGGAAAATATTGAGGCTATATTAAAGCAAATAGTTTCACTTATCATCAATCTTTAAATTCTTTTATTATAGGCCTAACATATGTATTGAACCTACCTAGTGAGAGGCATTCCATTATCTTTATTCAGCTTCTTTATATAGCATAGACTGCTTTGCTAAAATCATAAGATTTGACTGGCAAATACATTAGACTTAGGTTTTTAATAATGAAATAGTACTCATAAAACCAGTGTTAAACATGAAAATTTAAATCTTGCAAATGTGCTTTGCTTCTCTTTCCCAACTCTACCCCTGTGCTGAAAACTATGCTAATAATTTCCTCATTTTTCTAAAATACACCAGATTATGTGCGTACACCTCATCCCCAGATGAAGAGATTGTAGGGATTTAAACACTTTCTGACATTTGCTATTGTCAGACTTTTCATTTTTTCCCACTCTCATAGATTTAAAATAACTCAATGTAACCTTTATTTGCATTTGATCAACTCATAATGGGTTTGAATCATGAAGTTTTAATTGTCCATCAGTTGTTTTCATTTGGAACTGTATAGACCAGAATGTATACTTCTTCCTAAGTAAAATAAATTAGTTCACTGAAAATCATGAATAGGAATCGAGCCACTTTCAAATCACTTCACAGTGACATGTTTACTTCACTGAACTCTGAGAAGTGCACCCTTCTGAGTTCACACTGACAGGACATACTATGTGTACAAAAATGGGAACAATGCAGAGAAGATTGGCATCGACTCTGTGCAAAGATGACATGCACATTGGGAAGTGCTCCCAAACTTTTTCAAAAGGTGCATACTTTAGGAAAGCAGAAAAAGTAATGTCTAACGATCATCATATTTTCACTCACATTTGTTTTTTTTTCCATTTTAGGAACTTATGGGAAATGAGTTTAGTTGAATAATTTGGTCCACTAGCAAGCAGGTGAAATTCCACTTGCACAACTAATGCAATATTTACAAAGAAATACCTAACTCTAAATTGATCTCAATAATTAATCTGTGCATTTATGTATGCATGAATGAGTTCATTTCGGGGAGCCCCTGTGCTCATCTGTGTACCTCAGTGTAACAAAATCAGTGTTAGGGCATCTGTGTGTCATTTATTCATGCTGAAGTTGGTATTTAGAAAAAAACACCTACAGGTTTAATCTACAAAGTGACTTGCAAAAATGGTCTACATGTTTATTTTGGAAATTCTCCCTTTTATGAATTATGGCTAATATATCAACATCAGAATAATTGGAAAGAATGTAACAATACAATTTTACTTACTTATTGCTTTCTTTTAGCAGATAAATCTGAGTTCCACTTGTGGAATTTGTTCGGGGATCAAACTAAAGTGCTATTAGGATTAAGTAAAATTGATATGCAGGAAGATTAGCCACGTTTATCCTGGGATCTCTAACTCAGCATGTAGGTGACTATGTAGTTAGGATCAGAAGAACTCCTCTAAAGCGTTTAAATCTATACATTAGCTAAAGGAGAGCAAATGTGGCTTTTTTTCTAACTAATGAAACTGCTTAAAGTTTACTCTAAAAATCCATGTAGCATTTATTACAAAAACCCTTTCCAACAAGTCATGGGGCTTCATGGGTTTCACTGGGAACCTTCAATTCCTCAGAGTGCAAGTACATTTCAGGAGAGGGCACTGATTGGTCAGTGTGAATTCTGGCAATAGGGTCGCTGGATCAAATGTCTGCATTCCCAGCCAGTTACTGCAGTCAACTCTAATCGGCAGGCTCAGGGCTGTTTAATTTTTTATGTGGCAATCATCAAGGCTTCCGTCTTCCCTCCCATTTATTTATATTAATAATGGAACCCTAGTTGCTGTGCTCAGAGTGAAATATTCTTCTCAGAAACAGTTTACAGAGCCAAACTCCATTTCAGTGTCGAACAGAACTCAAGTCGTTGACTCATTGTTTTTGTTTTTCCAGATAATATTAAACATGTGTCCAAGATCATGTGTAGGGAACATGCTCAGAAAAGCATTCTGACTGCATTTGCTGTGCAAACTTTGATACCCACGGCCAGAACACATGTATTTTGATGTTGGCCAGATGTTGGGTAATTGTGCACACAAGTCAAGGGAAGAAAAGATGCTTCATTCATAACCTCAGCTCTCTGCCAGCCAACACTCGAAGGGAGGTTTTTATTTGTAGAGTAGAATAGAATCTAATTATTAACTGGGAAGAGCAGGTCATTCAACATAATACTTTTTGGCAGAATTCTCGTGGTAAAAAAATGAGCGATGAGGAAGCAATGTAATTTCCGATCATCTGTGATTGATTCTGTTGTACACTTCCAGGCCCTCCTTGCCATTCTTCATTTAGATCTATGAACTTGACTGAAAAATGCTGAGATGATCTGGGATTGTTTTATCATTTGCATAAGGATATTATAGGAAATACATCATAGATATGCAAAGAAGAAGTGAAAACTGTAACTAGTACACTAGAGTAAGTTTAGATGTTTAATTTTAATCATCTAGAAAAAGTACATCTTTGGCACAAAATATATGAATATTTCTCACACCTTGATTCAATTAGGTTATTCAGACAAGCCTTCATTATAGGATAGAACTCTCATTCACATCTGAGACTTGAGGCAAAATTAATTTTCCTTTCAGATGGTCTATAATAAAATTCTACTAGCATTGTCTCTCTTTAAGTCCCCTTGGATAAATGATCTTGGGAGTATTTCAAATTTCTTAAAATACTTGATGGAATGAATGAAACCAAACCCTGAAGAACTAAAGATAGTCAGTTAGCACATATGTCAGTATTAAACGGCCTCAAGAAAGCGAAGATCAAATGTTGAATTTGACAGATATGAATTTTGAGAAATCTGAATAAAACCTGAAAAGAGTTATACTTCTTTTCATTGGAAAGTAGCAAAATTTAACTAAAAAAAAAACTACCTCAATCATTTATTTCTATGTATAAAGTAGCAAGACATATGGAAATTGAAGTAGGCAAATCTTTCTGCTTTTGACTAAAGAGAACTGGGTCAGAATTAAATGGTTAATGTATTCAAAAAATAAAACTATGATGCATCTACATAGAAATTCTATCCAATTTTTAAATTGGGGATTATACAAAATTAATTTATACATAAGTAGAGGGCATGTGAAATCTGAGTCCATATTGATGTGGAGAACTAATCGTGTACCCGTAAGGTCCATGAAAGTGGTCAACATCACAAATGCATTCTGTGAAGTATCTAGTAAAGCCCATTTAAGTTCTCATCCAGAGTGCTGAGAAGAAAATTATTTTGTAGAGACTGCAACAATGACTGTGGTCAGAATAGATACCGTACACATAGATGGTATGGGAAGAAATGGAACATTCATCAGTATGACAGTGTCACTGCATGCCACAGAATTAGAATTCAGTTATTCTTGCATAAGAAAGATTTTATACACAAAATAAGCTATAAATATTAACAATGCCAATAGACCGTAAAAATCCTTGCATTTCCAGCAAACACTTCAGAGCCTGGCAACATGCCCATCTGAACCATTTCAAAGTGAATGAATGAAGGAAGAAATGAAATTTTTTAAAAAATCAATTTCTATTAAAAATCCTACAAATTTTATATTATTGTTCACAGCATCACAAACAAGAAGAAAAAGCAGAATAATTATACCTGACTGGGGAAAACTTTTCATCCTATTTATTTAGTGCCACTTTATCATCTTTAAAATTCTCTATCTGACATCTTTACCGTTGGTTGACAATCACTCAGGAGGTCAGGCGCCTGACAATGTTTGGGATTAGCATGAAGACAAAATATACTTTTATGATTTAAACTATGTATCAAACTAACATGTATCATCAACCAAGAATTACATTTGATTAGTCATGGCACCTAAGAAGTATCTGGAAATTGAATAAAGCAGAGGACTTTGTTGTGTGATTCTCTCATTCAGCTTAATTACGTATAATTTCCACTCTGAGGCAGTGTGTAAATAATAGGATAGGGCCGATGGTGATTCCTAAAGTGTCAGAACACCTCTTTGATACCAAAACAGAAGTTTGGGGTGAATTTAAATAAAGATATATATTGTGCTCACTTAACCATTACTAAGAACTTTAGCAAAGATGTTCTTCCATAACAACAAAACAAGTGAATACGTTGGAAACTTCTCAATTGTGTTAACTTTCTGTACTACTTTCAAGCAAAAAAATATTTAATAGCATTCATTGTCATTTGATGTATGTAATTGATTACTAACATAACCTGAAATGGTTAGTAAAAATCTCTGAACTTAGAAAACTGAATTCAAAATCAGGGATCCAGACTCGTAACTAGTTTTTTTTTAATCTGTGGGATTACTGGCAATTAGTTGTAACTGTACCTAAAATACCGAATACCTGAATCTTCAATTCAGGAAGAACTCAGAAAATAGTGGTCCTTAAAATATTATATCATCAAAGGAGAAAATTCTACAAAATCCAACAGAAAATTGTCTCAAGACGTGTCGGAGAATAGGATTAAAGGATACATTTTCTACCTGAATATTCTTTAATGATTACCTTCAGAAAATAAACAAAAGATGTGAATTTAAATTATAAGTGAAATAACAGTGTAAAAATATTCTTTATTTATTATTTGTTTTAATTTCAGAATATTATGAGAGTACAAATCTTTTGTTTATATGAATTGCTATTGTACGTTTTAAGTCAAAATGATAAATGTGCCCATCCTCTAGGTAGCGTGCATTGTACACACTAGGTGTGACTTTACCTCTCCCCTCCTGCCCCTTCCCACCTACTTGTTTTCTTTTTCTTAATATAGAACCCTTCATGAATTTGCATGTCATCCTTGCACAAGGGCCATGCTAATCTTCTCTGTATCATTCCAGTTTTAGTATATGTGCTGTCGAAGAGAGCACTCACCTGCTTCTTTTCTGTAAAACTATTGTTTAAGTCATTAGAGAAGAGGCATCTGGTCCTTGATGTGCATAGGAAAGGAGAATACACAGTGATCCCCATCCACGCCTGGGTGAAGGATGAGAAGCATGTACTGACCATAGGGGAATGGCAGATTAATTTATATCACTCTTCCCTTCCTATTTTTATTTTCTATCACTGTATGCACCTCCAGAAGATGGGAAAGTTATATTGAGATAGAATTGACAAGACTAGGTAAATCATTGGCCATAAGAGCCAAAAGAAAAAAGGGATAGAATCATAGCTCTGATCTTTTGATGACAGTGTGGATGGGGGGTTGAGTGGGAGTAATGTGAATGTACCTGTTATCAAAATAGAGGTTAGAGGAAAACAATGTGAACCTTGAATATAAGAAAATAATGCCTGCAAATGCAACACCAGGTCTCAGAATAGAAAGAAACTAGAGTTGAATATTTAAATTCACAAGGAAATTATTCACATAGAAATGATAAGTAAAGCCATGATTTTTTGATGGAATTTTTATAAATTTGAGATTTTAAAGGGAAGAAAAAATAGATATGAAAGTATATGTTTGAGGTGACATATATTTAGAAAAGTAAACTAAGGCAAAAACAGAGATACATAGTAGAAAAGGCATTAGTAATTGAGGGAAAACAAGGAGAGGTCAAGGAATGATCTAATTGAAGGGGAATATTCAGGAAGTAGGATGGGTAAACAATAAAAATGGACAGGAAGGATTGAGAGGAAACAGGAACTGAAGATGAAGGAATGGGGGCCTTGGCATGAAGCAAAATGCTAAAGGAGACAAGAGGAGAGTAAGCCATGGCCAAGGGGAAGGTCACTGAGTTGGATAATGGATGTAGTAGATAGAGACTAATAAAGATGGGGAAATGTGAGGTGGAAAGAAAAGTTGAAGAAAAGTTAACTTTTCTCTTAATATGAAGATAGAGAAAAGACAAGATGAAATAAACATAGGAGTGAAAGTAAATGAGAGATGATAGGACGCTTCTAAATGAAGTTGAGTTGTACATGAACATGGTAGGAATTGGCCTCTGTTCACGCAACTTTCTAGCACTACATTGGGCAGCCAGGGAGCAGGGCCAGTAACCATGAGATATGTATAGAAAGGGGATAGAGACCCAAGGAAATCAAAATCCCAGTAAGGCAATGACTAAACGCTATCACACTGGTGACTGTAGAGAAAGGAAGGAGGGCAGAAGGGGAGATTACCAATCCCCAGGGCCATAACAGCAGGTGAGCACGCAGGTGGACCTCTGGTCACAGCACTCATTCTTCCGTCTATCGGCCAAGTATTGATGTTCTGAGCCCATCTACAATCCATTATACTATGCTGAAGGCTCTCAGTCTTCCACCTGGTGAGGGAAATGTGACTCTCCCCCAAAAGCTACTTGCATCTTTTTTCTTTTTTTTTTTTTTTTCCTATCTCCATATATAGATGTAATTGAATTAAAGAAACTAAGTTAAAATATTTTCCCAGCTGATAGTGAGGATGAATAAAACATGAAATGGCATGATGCTTGTGCCATTGTGGGGGAGATCTAAGTCTCTGCTACAGATAGTCATGTTTTCTGAGCTGATAGAATTTTCTAATTTTTAGAAGTAATTTCATTCATACATCTAGAACTGAAGTTTTCTTAAAATGCCTGAAGGGAAGAATGGGAAGTATTTTTTTTGCTGTTGTTTTCCCCTTGACAGACTATTTCACTTTTATTGGCTTCAGGATTTGGGGAATATTTGATAACAAGGCAAAACTCAAAGGGGTGAACTTTATTACTCTCATTTATTTTGCTCGAGGGTCAGAGAGAGTTGCACCATTCATCTCTGTAGTATACTGGCACACATACTCCTTCCATGGCTTAGACACATGGACATGTAAGAAGAGTCATGTATTATATTTTGCTTAATACAGTATCTATCAGATTATTGGGCTACAGGCCTTGATTAAGTAGCATAAACAACAGCAATGAGCAGACTGATTTGGTAAAAGATAGTTACAAATTGTAAAGTTACCTGAAAATAGTTATTAAAATTAATTTTAAAAATCAACTTGTTATGGCAAAAAATTCAATTTTAGAACCAGAAAGATTTAAATCTTTAATCTTACACATTAGAAAACAAAGACCAGAGAAAATAGATTATTCACTGCTGAAAAAATTATAACTATAATCCGAATCTTCTGTTCCCCACAGTCAGCCTCTTTCTAGAATCATCTCAAAAGTCATTATAATTCTAAGGTAATAATAATGAACACGATCAAACTATAATAATTGTCCATGTACTATCTTTAAAAGTCAAAATTTACAACTATAGTAATCTTTATTCAAACTAGTTCCTGTATTTAATCTTTTAAAATTTTTATTTCTGATATCTTTGTTCTTGTTAATGGCATAATTTTTATGTTCTCCATCAATTTGACTGATTTTATTCTCACTTTTATATAGTACCTTATAAATTTAATTTTATTCTGTATTATCTCTATCACACTAAAGTTAAATTAAATTTCCCCACAAAGGGATATTAATTATATTACTCATTAATTTTTGAACAAACATCCTTTTCCAAGTTGTTAAAATTTTTACAAATATTAGGAAAATTCTTAATAATCAACATTGATGAAGCCAATATATTAATAATTACCCACTTGTCTATAGTATAACTGGAAAGGATCTTAGAGTTTCTTTTTAGAGTAATGAAAATTGAAGAGTTTAAATTTTTGCCCAGGCCAAACCAGCAGATTGGTGCCATATTTGAGATTAGAAGTCAAGCCCTGGAGCTTCCATTAGAGCTTTAAAAAACATATATGCAAAAACTTGAGACCCTTCTCGTATACTTTTATCTTTTTCTTTCTTTTTCATACACTATCATAATGATTTTTTGGAGAATTTTGTTCCACCATTTATCTTTTATAGGGGAAGAGAACGTCTCATAGTAAGCTACTAAAATGTTCTGAACCTAACACTCTTCTTTTTGTTTATAGTTAGGTTATCTTTAGCTGATGAAAGAGTCTCTGGTGCCCTTTAATTGTATTTTCCACACGTGGAGACAGAGGCTGAGATTACCAAATTTTATCCTCTGTAATATAAACAGCAATGTGGCACTGAAGTTCCCTCCAGATTATTTCTACTTCAAAGCCTCTTCTTTCCTCCCCGTCCCCCATGGACTAGCTGTTCTCACAGCCGCCTCCTGGATATGAATTGTTTATTATGTAGTATTTCCTAGCCCTAATTTCTTTCAGCCATAGCTTCTCCTTCCTTCACTGAATATGCCTCTTGGATCGACTTGATCAACGTTCTTTGGCATCTATATAATTTGGTCTTCTGAGGAGTCGTCTGACTTGATTCTTCTATTCCCAATGGCATAAATATCTTTTCATTAGAAAAAGTGCTCAGATATCCCTACCCTTTATTTTTTGAAATAATGTCTTGCATAGCAACATTATACCGATAGTGAGTTCTTAAAATAAAATCTCACCCTAGATAATTCATGAGAATTAAACCCAGATCTTGGAGAAGTTGTTCTCACTGTTAGATGACAAACTAGCGATTAAACAAAGATTATACTGAGATTACTCAGTGGCTCATTCTTAAGGAAAGTAAGCTGACTTCTATATTATGGTAATTTTGCATTTTTAAAACATTTAGCCTGACACTTCATGGTGTTTTTGCTTCTAGGACATCCTCAAATATTGCTTTGTATATAGTGAGAAATCCATTTAACAGATGAATTAACCAACACAAAGAAATGAGGTGCAAGCTTATGGTCAAATCAATTATAATTTGCTCAGAAAACAAATCCCAAAGACTTTTAGTCTTTTACTTGCTTATTCAACACTCTAAAGAGGTGGCAGCTTCACATTATTAAAATGGTGCCGTAGGGGAAAATACATATTTTTTCCTACTCATTTTAGGTTCATGACTGAGGACCCTGTAGCAAGAGACAGATTAACAGGGGAGCCCTCCGAAGTGAAGATCTGGAGAAACAGGTAAAGGGGTGTATTTTTATGCTAAGTCTGATAATGACAGAGATGATTAAAGGACAAAATGGTCTGGTCTCATAACATTAAACTCGAGAGCAGAGCAAGGCCCCTTTACTCCTCACTGTGTTCGCTCTTCAGAGAGGGCCATGTTCTTTCCTCCAGATACAGGAGGCAGGGAACTTCTCACAGAAAGCTCTGATGACCTGCTTCAGAGGAGGTCAGGACATTTTTTCCCAGGTTTTATGGGCTGCACTCAGAGAGAAGGGCAGGGAAAGGGCAGAGAATGACCTTCCTGCTTTTGCTGTTTTCTCAAATGCCAAGCAGCCACAGTTTGAAGTCGAGTGTCCTTAATTTCACAAACATCTAAATCTGCGTAGTCAGCTGTGTATTATTGAAGGTTGTTGTTGATAAATAGTAAAAATAAATTATTTCAAAGATAGACTATCAGGTTAGATAGTATACAGTATATTCTTTGCATGCTGGTTTGAGATATTTTACTAATGAACTGATAAAAAGAAGTTGTTAATTGGCTTTCAAGAGGTTACCTTAGATACTATTGGAGTACTTAAGAGATCTCTTCCATAATATTTTATACTTCTTTAGAGATATCTCTCTCTCTCTCTCTCTCTCTCTCTCCATCCTTTCCTATCCAAAGGGTTTTGCCAGTCTGGCTTGAGATAAATAGAATTCTCATGCTGAAAGTGCTATTTACGACTGTAAGCAACAAAATGCAGAATAGCAGCTCTGGGATAGATTGACAATCATAATAACAACTATTATCCTCTAAAGCTGTTTCTGCTACTTAAAGGGGCAGTATCCATTATGGAAGGAATATATGAGTCATCCTTTAAAGTATGGCTCCACTGGAAATAATGTTTTGTTATGGTGATTGTTGCAAATATGAGCACATTGCCTTTGGCTCTTTGAAATGAAAGCTGCTTCATTTCACTTAAGAAGGTTAGATGAACACACTTAAATTGGTAA